TAATTAAATAGTTTAGACAGAAAAATATCACTTCTTACTTGCATCATCTGCCTACAGGCTGCATCGTGGTGGGAGAAAAGATGTGCAGGAACACCTTCAGAAGTCATCAGAGGCCTTGAAGCTTAGGCAAATCCATGGTCATTGATAGATTCATGTGTGTTGAACATCATTTAGGATGGCCAATATTAGTTAGTGAAGAGGGGAGATGAGGCCTTTGCAGAAGCAAAGACAGCCACTGATAAGTGATTCCTGGTATTTCCAGATTCAAAAGTCGGCATATGGCGATTTTGTGGGCAACACAAGGTGGCAGAAGTCCAGTGTTTCTCCTATGTATTTCTGGAAAGAAAGGTTGATCACAACTGGCCCTACATCTGTAAAATTTTCTCTGAACATCAATTTCACTGTAGCAATAGAAGAAGATTTGCTTTTGAACTTCAAAATATATTCAAACAAAATGAATCTCACAGTAGTTCTGTATTGTAACTTTATTTTTTTGTTAGAAATGCTGTATATTTCTAGCCCTCTAATAAACAAGCCCTACTTGCCCCAAGCTGGACAACTGGAACATGAAACATCACAGATATGTGATGCTTTACATGAAAAACATATCCTGAGTCCAAGGAGTATTTGAGTGAACAGCTGAAAGATAAAATAGACTGTATTTGGACAAGTAACACAAATGTAAAGATACATATGAAATTACTTAACATATATTTGCATTTTCTGAATTCTGTCTTGTCTACCCAGAGCAAAAGTCTTGCTTTGCTATAAACCTACTTTCAGCCTGCTGTGATATGTGTGCTCCCCACAGATGTAAAAAGAAAACAGGAATTTGCAGCTGATGAAAACAGTTGCTTTTAAAAACTTAGATCTTCCTCTTACTAAAACCATGAGTTATGAACCATTTCTATGTATCTGAGCTTTCTCGTCCCAGCTGGTGTGTATGTTGCATTGCCCTTTACCACTTGCCCTATGTTTGTGCTGTCAAGAAAGAGATACTCTAAAAGGATGATGCAAGTCTCTCCATTAATGATATTTAGCAAAGATTCTCTGCTCATTCTTCCTGTAGGTGTATTTGGAGAATGAAAAATCCTCATGTGGTTTTTAAGATTCAAATTTGGAAGAAGTATAATATGTAGGATGGGAAAGCTCATTTCAATTTCCTGTTCTGCTGAACTTCCCAGCGCACTTTCGAAAGTAACTTACAGTCAATTAAACAGTGTTGAATTAAAGCTGGCACTAGCCATTTACTTCTGCTCTTCCATTAGGAAGTCTGTATGATAATTAGAACTTCTGAGCAAGCACAGCAAATCTTCCCAACCCAGGAGTGTTACACTTAGATGGAAAACCCTAAAGATAAATGTTCTCAGGCACTTAAACAGTGGGTACTGCATAAGGCTATAAGATTGTTCTTGCTTTCTTGTTTATTATACTAGCACCTACTGTTGAACAGCACATTTCAAAATAATTTAATCTCTCGGGGGGATTTCATGGAATCACAGAATGGTTTGGGTTGGAAGAGACCTTAAAGATCATTGAGTTCCAAGTCCCTCTGGAATTTGGGGTGCAATCTTGCAGAAAGTTAGTGACTAGAGGTATTGTGGAGATCTGAGTCTTCTTTCCTTACAGAAATCATATTTTCATTACCTTTCCATGGGGAATAATGTGGAGCTGCTCCTGAATGGAGCCAGCTCTTCCCTTCTTTTTGCTCAGATTAGGATTTGTGTTAGTTACATGATGAAATAGTCTAGGGACTGACTCAGTCAAAAACTAATTTCCCCCTTTGACTTTTTATTTTGTCATTATTCACCTAAATAAAATAGTGTACATGTTTAAAATTACATTGACATCTATGTTTAAAATTACATAGACATTGTATCTTGGCTACATATCTCAAACACTTGCATGTGGATGGTTAATTACTTAATATCAATAGAAATTTTAAAAAGATAAATAGTCTTTCCAATAATTAATATCATATTGATTGAGATGCAGTTTGTGCCTTTTTAGAGATGAAATTTTTTTTTAATGCACTTAAAAAAAAATCCACTGCTATATCACATATAAAAACTGTATATATCACTTCAGTTTTCACATATATGCATCGCTTCACTTAACTCCAGTGATAATTGTTTTTACCCTTACAGCTAAGAGTGTTGCTGGCCTAGATATAAGGGTAAGGATTATTCTAAAGCAGCACAAACTATATGATGATTACCTCAATATGCCAAAATTTCTGTCTGGAACTGGTATACTGCAGAACATACCCCAGATCAGCATACTGTGTTAAGCTCTGCTCAGCACTACCTGATTATGTTCACCTCTCCTGTGATTCTACTACTTCTAAACTGGAAGAAGTGCTTACAAAATGTCACATACTTGCCCTGCTATTCAATTTGTCCTCACAGAGGTAGTAATTCCAATCTCACAGAAGTATTGTGAAACGTCATTTATTAGCATGTGCAGAGTTTGAGATCCTTGGCAAAGTGGAATAATAGGATTTTTAGGTCCTTTTTTAAAAAGCTATTTTTTAATATCAAAATAGTGATTTAATTCTATTTATATATTTCAGTAAATACAGCAGAAAAGAAATAAAACCTTTTAAGTAAAATATTTTGTTTGTACTTTGAAAGTAACAATTTGTTACTGCTGCCTTCCAATGGATTATTTCAAGTCCTATTCAAGTCAATGGCATGACTCTCTACTTCCAGGGCACTTGCATCCCCGGACTCTATCACAAACCCCGGTGACATGTTGGACATTGTCTATGACTCAGAACTAACTGAAATTAATTCAATAATGACTTAAATCATTCAATATCACTCCACAGATAATAACACAGAAGGAAGGGAGAGTTCCCTTTTGACTGTGCACTGGAGGGGGCTCAAGTTTCTAACCAATAAGAGCTAACACATCTAGTGTTTGTGAGCCATGCATGCACGCTCACAAACGAAGCAAAACAGTAAAACCCAAGCAATACACTTTTCTTCTCAAATGCCTTCCAGCTCGTTGGCAGCATGGGCTTTAAGTCTGTGCGACTAGCATAAAGAACCTGCACTCTGGCAGTAATTATATTGCTTGTGATCTCTCACACCCTGTCATAGTAGTCTGTCCCTGCACTCAGCTTCCCGGCGATTCAAGATACCTCACAGGGCTGTGCAACTTGCCTGAAATGGGAATGAGGGGTTATATTCAAGTTTCTGATAGTTTCAAGGTATGTGGTTTATCTAAAGTGTGACTTCAAGGCATGAAGCTATGGTAAATCTCAAAGAACATCACAGGCAATATTTGTGATTAGAGACTCAAACGCAGCACATTTTTGTGGGGGAAGTCTTTGAGCACAAGCTCATAAATACATATCTACCCCATGTGCCTTTTGAAGAATGACAATATGTTATCACAGCAACAAGGAGCCACTGTGACTGCTTTCCTTAACAAATATGTTGTTCTATTTTTTGATTCATCTCACATACAAAGATTAGATTCTAGTTTCAGTATTATGGTTACTTGAAGTGTCATTTGGGAAGGAATGCTATGAATGCCTGTGGAAAAAGTTATTCTGCTTCTATTATGCAATATATTTCACATAAGAATAAATCACAAAGGCTCTTCACTTTAACTGATTTTTTTCTTTCTGCATACTTATATTTGTGAAGTCACCCTTTCTTAGGACAAATAGTTTACTGTTGAGGGTTGATTCTGCCTTTAGTGTCAATTGTTAATTCCTAATACATGGGGCAAATCCAAAGAAGCCTTTAGGTTGACCACAGATCACACAACGGAGGTCTGTGAGCAGAGCGCATTTTCACACGTGGACAGGAAAGATGAGAGCCTCCTACCTCAAACACAGTCAGGGTTAGATGACTGCTGAATGTGTGTTCTTTTGATTTTGATTTTTGCACTTGAGCCCTTGTCTTTGTCATTTCCCACAGTCTGGACTGTCATTTTACTGGTTATTTAAAACCCCCCAAAACCCAGCTTGCTCTCTCTCTCTATTTCCAGTCTTACTGTAAGTTATGAAATATCTCAAAGTTGGAAGTAGCAAATTATCTTGACAGCCCAAGCACTTTTCTTCCTTCTGTTGTCTCTCATTGCTCTGTTGTGGAGTTGTTACTACACTGAAGGAGAAGAAAAACGACAGGACCTCCAGGTGCAAGCACCACAGGAAACAAAGGAGGAACAGGAGAAAGAGTGGGGAGAAGAATCCCCCATTTTTTTGGAGTTGATTCTGCATTCAACTGAAGAATTCTATGTAATTTTTTTTTTTTTTTTTTTTTTCCCCCACCATGTCTGCACATGCAACTTCACAGGTTCATTTTGGAACTGGTAATGATTCAGAAGCAAACTTCAGCAAAACAGCTTCAGTCAAAACACAGTAAGCAGGTAGGCCAGTGATGCTAAGAGAATAACTGAGCTGTATTTTTAGCAGTTCATAAATTGAAAAAAAGATAGATGGGGATTCGTTTAAAAAAAAATAATAAAAAGCTGCAATGTTATTGTGTTATTGCAGGTGTTATTTAATTATTTCCAAGTTAACAGTGTGAAATGGGGGTACACTAAATATAATCCCTCATCTGTAGTTGTCAAACCTGTCCTGATCTACTGCTGGAAAAGCTAAAATCAATGTGGATGAATCCTAGCAGGGGTCCAGTTCCTACCAGAGAAGGGCTGCGTGTAAGAAAGCAGGGCAGCGTGCTTTAGAAGGCAACACAGCCGAAAGTGGTGCCATCTGAGCGGAACAAGAGAGGCTTGTTTTCTTGGCTGCCTACATCCTGAGCTCACTTTAAATGACAGACTTCTCTCCGCATTTCAATTAGACTGTGCCAGTGGGCAAGCGGGGAATATTAATGAGGCAGCCTCCGAGGGCCACGGGGGCGGGAGCCGCGGTCTGCAAGTTGTTCGTTCCCCCCCAGCAGACCGGAAAGGGCGCGAGGCCGTTGTTGGGGTTGTGCCCTGTCACACCCGCGCTTAACAAGAGGTGCTTAAAGGGTCGGGAAGGGCCACAGGGAAGGTGGTGTGTGGTCCTGGGGATCACCCGGTTTATCGCTCGCGCACAGGCGGAGTTGTCGGGCAGGCTGCAGGCCCGCGGCTGAGCCGCCGCTCGCCAGGGTGACTTGCATCTTCCCTGCCCCGCACGCCCTGGGGCGCACCCGCACCCCTCCGTCGCGCCGCGCCCCCCGGGGCAACTCCGCGCCCGCGCAGCCGCCGCCCGCGCGTGCCGGTACGCGCAACCACCCCCCCCCCCCTTCCCCGCCCGCCTCCGCGCACCGGCACGCGCGCGCCCGCCTTTCGGGATCCGCTCGGTCGTGGCCGCGCTGCGCCGCCGCCCGCCGCCTCCTGCCCCGCTCGCTGTTGGCACCCTCCGCCCCGTTCCCCCCTCCCTACCCCGGCCGCACGCCGGCTCCAGGTACGATCCCCGGGGGTCCCCGCCCTGCCCCTAGGAGAGCTCTGCTGCCGACCGCAACTTGTCGCCCTGCGGGGCTGTTCCCCCCCGCCGGTGTACTGCCGAGCAGCTGTCAAACGTGCTGGGCGGCCGGCGGCGGCGGCGGCTGGGGGCGGCTCGACCGCGATCTCCGCACCGAGCCCCCGCGAATGGCGTGACTCCCCCCCGCCGCCCCCCGGCTGCGGAGTGCCGTTGTGAGGCGAGGAATGGTTAAACCCCGGCCCTTTTGTACATGCGGGTTTTTTTGTTGTTTTTTTTTTTTTTTTTTTTTTTTTTTTTTATTCCTTTTTGTCTTGGGGCTTACGGAAAAGGAAAGCATCTGATGCGTCTGCTCACATGCCACTTTTGATCATACGTTGCCTCTTTGCACAGAGCAAGATCGTTGGGAAAGATGGAGATACAATAAGTTGCTAGTAGTGAGAAGTGCTGCAGAAACCCAGTAGGTTTCCTCTCTCCACCGAAGTGACATATTTTTCCTCGGGTTAAGTTGAAAGCACTGCGTGGCGGAGACTGACTGTAGCTGAGAGTGGGTTTGTGTTTTTCTTGTACGGTTAGGTTTTGCAGGAGCAGCGATGAAGAGGAAGCTGGTGCTCTCCGAGATGCAGTTGGTTCTTCTCGTTTTATTGGTGTGGCTACCAACAAGGTGAGAGGATGTTTAGTTTTCTTGTTCCATACAAACATGTATGTTACAGTCTGCTAAAGGTAAGCCTGTGTGAGAGGTTATGAAAGTATGGTGTATAGTAATATCATAAAAAAATCTTTCTTGGCTCTTTGAATGCAGTCTTACATAGTTTCCGGACTAAATGCGTTAGAAGGTAGTCTAGGGACCGTATAAGCCTAATTGCTTGTCCTTAAACAGTTTGTGAAAAGATGTTTTATTTCACCATTAAAAAACAATTCCTTTAAATGCCTTATTGAATCTTAAAGATTTAATGAAGTTATTGTACCACTGTGATTGTGTACCATACAGAGGAGTTAAGATGGAGACATAGATTAGTCAATATAGCAAATCACAGTCTCTAAATTAATGCTCGCATGGTTTTTATTACAGGCATGGCATTCTTTTTGGTTTTGCTTTTTTTTCTGGATCAACATAACCGAATTCAAAATGATACTTAAGCTTTAAACCTCTAGGTGGAGATAGCATACAACTTCACAATCGCATACAATAAAACAATAGCCTCATTTGTTAATCAGCTTTTCTTATGTTGTTTTAAGTTCTCCATTTCTAAAGCGACCACATTAGAGAAAGTAATTTTAATCACCTAATAGTTTGGTGTTGCTTACAGTCCCTAAATGTGCGATTAGTTGTAGTTTGTAACTTGGGTTCACTTGCTTTGGTTCTGACTGCGGTAGGTCTTGTCCTGCACTGGTGAGTGTTGTAAGTTAAATAATGCAAGTTTCCTATGATTTAAAAAATCTGCATTTATTTTTGTGTATTTCCTAGCTAACAAAACGTTCCTGAAACTATGTTTCCTATTTCACTTCATGCCTAACTCTGGTGCAGTATTAGTTGAGTCACAGTGGGCCAGATCCTGCAAACCCTACTCAAGTGAGTAATCTCACTGACGTCAAAGAGACTACATGCGTAATTAAGGAGTTCATGCCTGAGTAAAGTTTGCAGGATTCGACCCTAATTTGATATTGTATGATCTGATTTTTTAGTGGTATCTCTGAGATACAACAGTTCTTTTAACTCAAAAGAAGCTTAAAACATGATGGAGACAGTCCAGAAAATAATTAAAAAAAAATAAAAAATGACCCACTGGTAATTTAAGAAAAAAACTCACACATCAGTGAAATCCCACATGACATTTTGGAATGGGCTTCGTAAGTTATAAGATCTTGGTCAGTTCTGTGACAGAAAACACAGACTGCAATGATTTACATTTAAATACTTCCTCCATGCTGTTGAATTGGGGACCAACATAAAGCCCTGCCTTTCATCTTTTTATAGCTTGCTTTAGGGAAAATGCCACCCAAGCCTACTTTTGGTTTGGAGGAGGAAGGAAACATTCTTGGTTTTATGGCATTCAGGATGCCTTGATCAGTAGTTCAGGTTAAAAAATATAGATGGCTAGAAAAGGTTTAGATGATGACGAGTGTAGCACATGATGCTTTACTTCTGGATACTAATATTCTACAATTAAGCAGGTAGGATTGATGAGCTCATGCATTTCACATGCATGGTGCTTAAAATTGTTGTCACGGTAACATTTACTTGTGTATATCTTTCTGCATGGGAGTGTTTCCCTAGCAGACAACAGCTTTGGTCTGGGTCTCCAGATCAGCACCACAGCCAGCAGGGCAGCAGATTCATGCTCCAGCCCCTAGTGTTTTCTATAGATATATGACCCATGAAGGCTGTAACATCTTGTTCTTCATCAGGGAAGTTACAAACAATTGATGATCTATAGATTGTTCCTGATGCTTCATTTAATTTTTTTCTATCCAACTTTTACAAGGTCTGTCTGCATCTAGTGGAACGTCAGATACTGCTTTTATAACAAAATGTCATTTTAGTAACATGAAATCAACCCACAGCTGTCCTGCAGCTTGCTAGTCAGCATCATTGTTCCCACCCACCAAACACTGACATCAGAGGACTCCCTGAGCATGATTACTGGAGTTTTCCCTCATGTTCTTCTAGTCATGTACGTTATATGACCATTGGGTGGAAGCATATCCACAGGATTTATCCAGAGATAGAATATGCTTAGGTGAGGACAGCTAGGATAGAGCTGGAAGGAGACAGTTTTGTGTGTGGGAACCCAGGTTATCTGTCCAGGAGTGACATGCCGCTGAGGCCTGGGAAGCTCTTTTAGACTTTTGTGCCTACACAACCAAATGTGTTAGTGGAGCTTGAAGTAACACCCATGGTAGTGCAATGTTGACTAGATGTAGAGGCTACTGGAGAATGACTTCCTGGAAATTTTAAGTAGTATATCATCTACTTTTATGTTTCTGAACTTGTTATGTACAAATTGTGTATTCGTATACTTGTAACTACACCATTCCTGTTAGAGGGCAGAAAGTTAAGTATTGAGGGCCAGCCTGCAAAAATTGCATGTTGAGTGTACATTAAAACTTACATAGCACTTTCTAAAATGTAAAATGTCCATTTAGATCAGTGCTGGCTGACTCCCTGGAAGATGAAGCTAAGAATAACATCACCATCTTTACAAGAATTCTAGACAGACTTCTGGATGGTTATGATAATCGTCTCAGACCTGGATTAGGAGGTAATAAAAACAAAGATTGATTAAAAAAAATAAGCTTTAATGTTCAGATTTTATGCAGTGATATTCCTTCAGGGCTTTTTTTTTTTTTTTTTCCCCAAACAACTGGTATGTATCTCAAAAAATTATTTATAACTTTATATTCACCCAGCTGAATCATGTGAAGTTTGAAGAAAATAGCATCTATGAACAGAAAGGAGGAAAGGAAGCATTTTCACACATTTATCTTAAGGAGAAAAGGAGCACAAAAATCTGGTGATTTAACATAGTAAAACAGAATGAGAACAAAAATAACATCTAAAGCTGTTATTCCAGTCAGGGAATTCTGGTTGAACAAGGAATGCAGGCTTGATTCCCTGCAATGCGATGAACGTATGTTTTCAGAAATCTGCACAAGTGTTTTGTGTGGTGTGTGCACAATCCACATTTTAGATTAATTCCTTATTCCAGTAAATTCAATGGAAATGTTGTATTTTTTACTTCATTGGAATTAGGGTTTTGCTGGTAAATAACATTTTCTTTCTGGGTACCTTGCATGTATTTGGGCATTTGGAAAAAAAACAAAACACCAAAAGAAACAAGGGAATATTAGAGGGTAGAGGTCACTGCACTCTTGTACCATGACTGTCAGTTATTTCTCAAAATGTCAGTTCACATTTTCATTTCAAAGCTGTATGCTGGCTCATATAGATGTGTAAGCAAGAAATTTAAGCAATTTTTTGGTGTTGGAAGAATTAGAATCATAGAATTACTGTGCAAAAAGGTCTCTGTGGTATGGGGAGGGGCAGAATATCTTGGGTTTGATAATATTTTATCTACTATTATTGTTTATCTGCTATTGATGCTAACAAATGTAAATGTTCATGTATCAAATAGAAAGAACACTGTTATTATCTGTAACAGTTTGGTAATTGTCATTTTCAACCTGGAGACTGTTTAACTTGCTAAAACTGATTTTAGTGCAAAATCCTTGGGAGCCATTTCTATTCCTGTTGATTTCAGTAAGATCAGGCCCAAAGCTAGAGACCTGCTCTAACAACTCTGATCAAATCAGGAATTAGTTAAAACTCACAGGTTTTAGCCAACCATCTTCCATCCTGACCTGTGGCTCTGCTGCTGTTCTGGTTCTGGAGAATCTTGGTTTACAGCTGACACAGCAAAAAGTGGGAGCTGGCGCTGGCTGGAAACCACTTTCTCATATGCATTAATCTTAACCTAGGATATCTTTTTATTTCCATTTCTGGACTCTGCACAGGGAAAACATAAAATATTTTATATTTAAGGACTTTTTAATTTAGGTGATCCACAGAAGGAGACTTGATGTGAGAATTTCTATAGTGGTGTTTTACACATTTGCAAATTACCTGAATTTTAAAATTTAGATATAGTGTGAGCATACAAATGCCTTGCAGGTGACTTGCAGAAACATTTTATATCACAGAGCTCATGTTTAATTGGCAGAGCTTTTAAAATCCTGGGTTTTATTAGAAAAATAATGAAGAATTCTGTTCTTGTTTGCCAAAAGGACTGTGCCATTTAATAAGAGCAGTCTGCAGTTCTTTTTCATATCATATATACTTTTCATATTAAAATATATGCTGTTGAAAATAATTCCAAAAATTATTTTTATAATGGATTTTTATTTTAGATTTTCTATTAAATCTATTTCAAAATGCCTCCCTCTTTTTCTTTGCCAAGCCTCCTAGGTAATTAAAGTATACTTTTGGGAGCATAAAAACTAAAAAATTAACATCTGTTTGATGTTGGTGTACATGGCAATCAACCCATGCAGAACATGTGTGAAATGAAACTGTGTCATGCACATTAAACCTTGATGATTCATGATACATTAATCTTAATCTGCAAGAGTACTTCAGTGGTGGATGGGCTAATTCTTGTAGTTCAAAAGAATGCTCATAGAAGCCAGTTGTGATAATCCATGATCTGACGTGTGCATAGTAAGTCCTCATAGTTTCTAAAAGTGTTGTTGTATAGACTGCTGCATCTTGACCATGTCACATCATTAATTTAATATGCTTACTCTCAGTTCTGTTCCACTTGCATTTATATGAATCTGAAAGAATTTAACTGAAACTAGTACAGCATTTACTTTGGCATAGCAGCTTGCATTATCCTGACTACAACACTAGGACTGAGATCACCTGACCTAAAGTGCTGCAACAGAAATAGGCCAGGGTCTGAGATGGGTTCTTCTAAGGTCTTTTGAAAGCAAGAGTTTTTCACCAGCCCACTTTCACTTGTCATGAAAGACATTTTTAGAGATGACTTACGGCAAAAATTCAGCTCATTGCAAAGAACTATTGGTCTTTTAAACATTAGATGGAGTAAAACATTCTGTTAAAAACAGAAATGTTTTTAATAATGAAAAGTGTTAGCTTCACATTGGAGTTGTATGTAGTTACTGACCAACCAAACAGAAATGTATAGGCTCCTTCAAAGACTCTGTATAAATTCAACTAAGTAATTGTCTGTGGATTTGTTCTTGAATTTATAATTAGTTTTACTGGCAGACTTGGTGTGAGTACTTACAGTATGTAACTTGATGCTCTTCTGAGACATCAGTACAATTCAGAACTGAATACTATTTTCTATAGACTGTTAAAGCAGCTTTAACTTTTACTGACGGTGCAGCTCTGTCACATAAACGGGTTTTGGCTGTTGGCTGTTGGTAGTTCTAGGAGCTGGGATCCTTGAACACGCTAGTGATGAAATAGCCTGCAAATAGGTGCGGGCAGGGAAAATAAGGCATTGCATTATCCAGGGACATCTCATATGAATTAGGTAATACCCTGACCTGCTATGTTGATGTGGGTAGGCATGAGAGTATTCAAGGGAAGATAATTTTTAGTCTGTAATCATTTTATGCTAAGCACAGGACTGGAACACTCTTGACTGTACTTTCAGTTCTGACATAAGCTATTTTACCCAAACATTCCGTGCCGTTTCTGTTGAGACATCAAAGTAAGTTACAAGTTCAGTTTCAAAACAAATTCCCCATGTCATTAGCACTGATTCGCATGAAATACAGCCATGCAAATTACAAGTTATAAAGAGTTTGATTGTGCCTGAATTTCTTCAAAATCATGAAGGTATTTTGTTCTATTTATTTGTTGTAATGTTTGCAGGACACTTAGTGCTTTACCATGAATCCTTTGATTTTTGTTAGCATATAGTAAAATAAATTCAAAAAACAATGGACACTAAAATTAAGGAAGAGACCAAAAGAGTTTAGATCTTCAAATAATAAGACAGTAGAATGTTGAAACTGAGATACAGCTGCATTAAAATCTGGAAGTGATTGAATTATGTGTCTGCTCTGTCTGCTTTCCTCTGCCCCATGGACAGATACAATTAAAGGAAAAAGCAACATATGTTAAGGCAGTCCCCTCTTTTAATATGTTGATGTTCTTGTGTATTAGGTATATCAGCAAAAACATACATAATTTTTAAAATGGTAGCTTCTTTTTAAAGATGAAAAAGAGGAAGGAAAGGGGAAATAATGGGGATGATGCTAGGTTTTTGATATCATGTTGGATACTTCAGGAGTCTTACCATAAGCTATTCAGCCTGCTTTGCTTTCTCATGTTTGAAATTCATAGACTCACAGAATGGTTTGGGTTGGAAGAGACCTTAAAGGTCAGCTAGTTCCAAACCCCTACCACGGGACACTTATTCACTAGACCAAGTTGGTAATTTTCAGCAGCTATAGAATGTCTGTCTGTTCTACTCTCCCAAATTTATAAAATATAATTGAGTGCAAGACTTAGGATTTGTAAAATTCAAATCTTGGGGGGGAAAAAAAGAACAAACCCTCCACCCCAAAACCCCACAAAGGGAAGTTACAAAGACACAGAACTGGGCCTCACAGCTTGAAGGCCAGAGCTATCCAAATTTATACAACTTGAGGATCTTTCCACAAACTGTGGTCAGTCTCACCAGCTTCTGGAATGGCATTCTTATTGTAACCAAAGAGGTGAATTTGGGTTATTAAGGAAACTGAGGAAGATCAAACAGTAGGCAGATGAAAAGTAAATACCACTGTCTCACCAGCTTCCATTTTGAAGGATCCATCTCTGTTGCAAGATGACTTTCAGATGTTCTAATTGCTTTAAACAAGAATCTCCATTGTGTTTCACTTATAAAAATGCCAAAACCTGTTTTTTTCCACGATGTTTTCTAAATAAATTGAGCAGGAAAACTGATGAGAACTGAGAAGGATTATTACTATCAGAGAGATGATGAGCAGTGTGTACTTAAGGGTATGATCATTTATCTTTGCAGCACTGAATATATTGTTGCATAAAATTGGTGTAGTAGCACAGAGCATTAGATTCTGGGATAAAAAGTTGTATGATGTATTTACCAATATAAGCTAAAAGAAAAAAGCAATTTATTTCACAGAAAACTTTTCCCCCACCTCACCAGATCAGGAGAGCTATATATACATATGTATGTGTATGTGTTTATCAAAGAGTTGTATCTCTTCAGTTGCCAGGAAACAAGGCCATGATCACATGCTTATAATTGGGAATATGTTAAATTTAGGACAGTATATTTATATGTCTCTGTGATTCAGAGTTTTAATCAGCTGTAGAAGAGTTTGTAACTGCAGCAATCCCCTAGCTAGTCATTCAAAACTTAGCAGTGTTTGTCAGCCTCATCATGCTTAATACACATTCAGAATACCCTAGAAAAAGGTCCTTCGACTATTTTTGCTGTAGAACACTACAGGAAAGCTTTCACTAATGTTTTTAAAGGAAAAAATGCAGGTCCCCTGCTCAATTCTTGTTGCTTCCTTAGCCCTTCTTTGCTCTAGTTTAATCTTTTGGAAATTGTAATCTCTCTCTCCCGGTGCTAGTGCAGAGCAATTCAGAGCAGCACTTGCACTTTCTGAAAGCCCACTATCTATGTAGTTATGCTGGGATACAAAGGAGTAAACTACTGTTTGCTCACTCTTGGGCATACCTGGAAGGGTCACATGG